CCATTTTGGCCAGCTGATCTCAAAATCCTGACCTCAAGTAATCCACCTGCCTCGACCTCCCAAAATCCTAGGATTACAGGGGTATAAGCCACCATGCCCAGCCCCCTGAGTTCTTTATGATAATTTTTTTTTTTTTTCTAAAATTTCAAACCTACAGAAAAGTGGAAAGAACAGTATGTTTAGCTTTCATTGAGCATTGCAAATTATTAACTTCTACGCTTTCTGTTTCACTTTTCCTGAACCATTTGAAAGTAAGCTGCAGATATGAAGACTTTAAAAAAAAAAAAAAAGTCCAGGCATGGTGGCCCACACCTGTAATCCCAGCACATTGGGAGCCAGGGCGGGTGGATCATGAGGTGAGGGGTTCAAGATCAGCCTGGCCAAGACAGTGAAACTCCGTCTCTATTAAAAGTTACAAAAAAATTAGCTGGGCACAGTGGCAGGTGTCTGTAATCCCAGCTACTTTGGAGGCTAAAGCAGGAGAATGGCTTGAAGCTGTAAGGTGGAGGTTGCAGTGAGCCAAGATCACGCCACTGCACTCCAGCCTAGGCAACAGAGCGAGACTCCATCTCAAAAAACAAAAACCAAAACCAAACAAAACAAAAAAACTCCTAAGCACTTAGGCTGGGAACGGTGGCTCAAGTCTGTAATAACGGCACTTAGGGAGGCTGGGGCAGAGGATCACTTGAGGCCAGGAGTTCAAGATCAGCCTGAACAACATGGCGAATCTCTCTACTAAAAATACAAACATTAGCCAGGAATGGGGGTGCACTCCTGTAATCTCAGCTACATGAGTAGGTGAGGCATAAGAATCACTTGAACCTCGGGAGGCAGAAGTTACAGTGAGCCAAGATCGCGCCACTGTATTCTGGCCTGGGTGACAGAATGCGATTTTGTCTCAAAAACAAACAAACCAAAAAACTCCTAAGCACTCAAAACACATCTCCTAAAAATAAGGACATTTTCCTAAACAACCATAGTGTCACTCTGCTTATGATAATTTTAACTTTTGTTTTAATAATATAAATAACAGCATATAAACATATTTTGGAACATCCAGATGGCCTCATTATAATACTGTCCCTCAAATTCAATGCCTGTATTAGAAAGGATAGGCCAGATTATGCTGCAAGTAACAGCCCCAGCCAGGTAACACAGGAGGCTTGAACCCGGAAGGCGGAGGTTGCAGTGAGCCAAGATCACGCCATTGCACTACAGACTAAATTTTTTTTAATTAAAATCTTTTAAAATTAACAAAAAGTCTTTTAAAATTAACCAGGTGTGGTGCTGTGCACCAGTAGTTTTAGCTACTTGGGAGGCTGAGGGAGGAAGATCGTTTGAGCTCAGGAATTGAAGGCTACAGAGTGCCATCATCATGCCACTGAACTCCAGTCTGGGCAACAAAGTGAGACCCCATATCAATTTAAAAAAAAAAATGTTATTTACAGTAACATGGATGGAACTGGAGGTCATTATGGTATGATTGGAATAAGTCAGGCACAAAAAGACGAATATTGCATGTTCTTACTCGTGTGGGAGCTAAAAGTCTGATCTCAAAGAGTTAGAGAAGAGAATGGCATATACTGGAGGCTGGGATGGGTGTGTGGATGGGAGGCGGGTGATGAAGATATGTACAATTAGATAGAAAAATTTCTAATGTTTGATGGCAGAGTAAAGTGACTATAGTCAGCAACAATGTACTGTGTATTTCAAAGCAGCAGCTAGAAGAGAGGACTTGAAATGTTCCCAACACACAGAAATGGTCAGTCCTCGGGCTGGGTGCTGTGGCTCACACCTGTAATCCCAGCACTTTGGGAGACCAAGGCAGGTGGATCACCTGAGGTCAGGAGTTCAAGACCAGTCTGGCCAACAAAGTGAAACCCCGTCTCTACTAGAAATACAAAAATTAGCTGGGCCTAGTGGCAGACACCTGTAATCTCAGCTACTTGGGAAGCTGAGGCAGGAGAACTGCTTGAACCCTGGAGGCTGAGGTCGCAGTCGGCCAACATTGTGCCACTGCACTCCAACTCTTTGGCCTGGGTGACAGAGTGAGACTCCATCTTAAAAAAAAAAAAAAAAAAAAAAAAAAAAAAAAAAAAAAAAAAAAAAAAAAAAAAAAAAAGAAAGAAAGAAATTGTAAATCCTCAAGGTGATGGATATCCCAAATACCCTGACTTGATCATTACACATTCTGTGCATGTAACAAATATGGGTACCCATCAATATGTGACATTATGTATCAATTTATAAAATGTGTATTGCTGCCAGGCACAGTGACTCACGCCTGTAATCCCAGCAGTTGGGAGGCTGAGGTGGGAGGATCACTTGAGGTCAGGAGTTTGAGACCAGCCTGGCCAACATGGCAAAACCCCGTGTCTACCAAAAATACAAAAATTAGCCAGGCATCGTGGCGAGCACTATAATCACAGCTATTCAGGAGCTGAGGCAGAAGAATCGCTTGGACCTGGGAGACAGAGGTTGCAGTGAGCCCAGATTGCACCATTGCACTCTAGCCGAGGTGACAGAGTGAGACTCCATCACAAAAAAAAAA